AGCGGATTGCAATATTGCAGTCATCTAGGGACTCTGACACACAGTACTTCAAATCACCGAGCTACGATCTAGATCTTTCACCGAATACAGATCGCTCGATAATCCTGCTACGCCTACTGCCCCAGAGTAGGCACCAGACGAGTCGAGGCATAAAACGCGGTTCCCCTTTAAGATTCCTTTTAGTATCGGTCTGCACTGTTAAGTTTCATCTCCTTGGGATCTGTTTTATGCATATTATGTTTATTGTGGTTCTAAGGGGGGCATAGTACAAACATCTTGTGAAAGATTAAGAAAAGTTCATCTTCAGGCAGTGGAAGCCCTCTTGGCCGACAAGGTGTGCCTGGTGTTCAAAGACGGTTGTATGGGGTTCCTTATCGGTCGAAGAGGGTTGTATCAGCTTCTTGTAATGCTGTTGAAGAGACCTGCGGGTGGAGTCTGTGCTGCGGGGGTAATGGGTCTTGCGGCCACGTCCCGATGAATCTGACGCTTTAAGGAGTCTGGTTGTGGAGCTTTCGGACTCGGAACGTATGCGTTGTTGTGGGACTGGGACAGAAGCCAGCTATCGACACCACCAGCTGGGTCGTGCCCTCCCACTTCCGCGGCTCAACTTGCGTGGGTTGTCTGGACCCGGTGGCCGTTTCTGAACCCGAAGCCATGAGCCCTAACCCGAAAGCCCACTCCTTAAACGACCGCTCCCAAACCCAATTTACCTATCTATTTTCTGGGTTTGCCCTGCCCGTCGCAAGCAGGACCAAGCCTCACGGCCCGTTGTCCTCCAAAGTGCTGAGGACACCGAGTGGGCCACAGCGGCTTCGGTCGTCTACACTTTTGGAATACAGTTGGGCTTAGGAAGTAGTCTCCTATCCAGGCGGTATTGAGGAAAGGTGTACGAATGATATGAGTCATATCTGTCCTCTACACATGCATGTCGTGTGTATACATGTGTGCATGTAGGATGTATGCATGTATGCATGTATGCTATGAGCATCCGCTGGTATGTAAACATGTATGTATGTGACTTTATGTAGGGACTTTCCTTTGTTTGGTCAGTTCTAGACTCTTCATGAAAATGATCCTGTATGTTTTTGTTCGCGCCCATACTGGGGTCGATCGCTCCTTCTTGGAAACCCCCACTGTAGAGATAGGGCAGCACGGAGGACGCGAAGTGTTGTGTGCTTGCCTGGCCGGTGACGGGAAGGTTCGGGTGTTCGCGTGCTTCTCTGCACGCTTGACTCGACTTGGGAGTTTGCGAAAATAGGGGACCCTAGTACAATACCCAAAATAGTAGGATCCTTATTACAAATACCTCAAAAGAAGGTACCCCTAATTTTCGGAAACCCACACTTGCCCCTAAACCCACACTTGCCCCTGCTATGCGTTTCGGCTCTTTTCCTGTATGCATGAACATCAGCTTAGGCAGACTTTGTTCCACTGTACCCAGGCCCGGCTACTGCCATGAGTCGGCCGAAGGCATGAACGCTCAGCCACCGAACCCATGAAAACTGCACCCCTGTACACCCTACCCATAGGCCCCAACGTAGTTCCTTTTTGGGATTACCTTATAGGATTCTAAATATGAACCCCAAAAAGGAACTACTTTGGGGCCTTAGGGTAAGTACATCCTGACATCCGGAGCCTCAAATCTCACGGCCCGCGGTCATGGGGCGTGGCCGCGTACAGAAGGCGAAGGCGAAGAAGAAGGACAAGGCGGGCTGCTGCGGTTGTGGGGGTGTATACAGGGGCCTTAATAACTAGATTAGGGTTTTGGGTCCATTATACTATAAGGCCCTTATGTTAATGGGTTAGGCTTGGGATTGGAGTGTGGGGTCTCAAGGCAGATGCAGGTGGCCACTGGCAAGCCTCCTTGTCCAGTCATACTTCAACTGAGTAATTGCAACAATTTTCCCATAACGTCCATGTATCTTGCTGCTGTTATGCTGTTGAAATCATGAAGGTTTCGAAATTAGGTCTTGATTCAGGATTCCGATGCCAGATGCCGAAGCCGTTCTCCGACAGATGCACTTCAACACTTCGATAAGCTGGGCCTCCTTCGAAACATGGTGAAGGGTATCCCGTCTGTAATGCTCTTCCAGAAAGGATTCGGCTGCTCAAGCAGAATAGAATCCATTTGGGGTATCCTACGTTTCTCTGCCACTCCCACCATACACAAAGATTGAAAGATGCAGCACAGAACCACCGTGCCTTTTCTGCATGTTAAGGCAGAAGGATCTCTCTGTGATTGAATAAGCCTCCTGCGATTTTACGGTTCATGGTCAATCCATCCGCCTGCCCCCCTCATAACACAGGATCTTTAAGGCTGTCAAAAAGTTTGCATCTTCCTGTCAAGGCTTGGAGCAATGGCAAAAGGCGCGTCGGGTCGGCCGTGGTGCTTTGTCGGATAGTCTTTTTGTTGAATTGCCTACATGTTCCAAGGACGGCATAGAGTGTATGGGAGTTCGGTGTCTTCTGTCTTCCCTGACCACTTAAGCTCAAAGATCTGTTCATGAAGTGATTGACTGGCACTCCGTTGCTGCAGCACTGACTCCGCTGGCAGAGGAAGTTCAAAGCACAAGACCCTGTTTATCGCGGCATGGTCGACCCCAATGTCCCTGGGCTCTGATGCGGAGCTTCTAAATGCTGGTGTGTTCGGTAGTTTGAAGGAAGACTCTGAATGAGCACACTTTACAGTCCTGGGGATTATATTATCCCTATTTACCCCTTACTATAGAACCCGAAAGTGAACTCAGCAAACAAATTGAGAGGACTTCTTGCAAAGTCCAGCTGTCTGGCAATTATGCCTACCTATGAACCCTCCTTGTAAGCTACCCGGCACCCGAAGTGCCCAACCTTGCAGGAGCAATCCCCTGCTGTAGGCAGGGATCCCTCGTACCAATCCGACACCCTGCGTCCTAACCCCGTTCATCTTCAGGATAAACTGGGCGGAAGTCGATTGCCTTTCGTGCTTGCTAGCGGTTCTTTCGCTGAGAGTAAGGTGGAATATGATGTCCGATTGCATGCAGTTGTGTTCAGGCCTGCCGTGCTTTCTGCCTACCACCTCACGCAGTATCTCTGAACCCTAAACCGGCTAACTCCGGCCCGCCATGTTCAGAATTTAAATCTTTAGCGCAGGCATTCCTTGGATTCCCACCGAACTCCCAAAATACCTGAAGCCCAAAACAAACTCCCCCAGGGTGTCTTGAGCCTCGTGCTTTCGTGCTTCCGACGATCCGAAACCACCTCTTCTGCCTCGCTAAAGAAGAGTACCTGACCGTTAATGCGGCGCTTGGAAAGACTTGTGACGCTGCCTGGCGTGGCAGTCTTGAGCGGAAAGCTCCGTCTCTTTGCCTCTGTCCGTCCTCCTATCTCCTTCTCCTTTCTGATTTCTCTCTTACCCTAAGGGTCCATGTACTCATTAGCCTTAATGTAGTCCCTATTTGGATACTTTGGGGCCCATGTGCCTCTATATGAGTACATGGACCCTTAGGGTTACCGTATTCTGCAAGGCCGGAGGTGAAATCCCCCTACATGTCAGTATGTGGTGAAACATGCGAAGTGATTGATACCGGGCCCTCAACGTCAACCCTGGAGCAAAAAGAAGCGTCACACTGCAATGCGCGAGGCAGGGAAAGCCTTTAAGCCCAGAGACCCCTAAAAACCCCAACCCTTCAGCCCCAAACCCTATACCTAAGCCTAAATAAGGTGAAGCTGGCGCACCAGAAGCGCAAGGGCGTGGCACCTCGCCTTTTAACGTTGCTGTTTGAGCTGTTCCGTGCTGATTTCCGCACACAGCCCGCCATCTTGCCTGACCAGATGATGAATCCTCTTGCCGTGTCCGGCCTTCTTTCGAGATGCAACTATATAGACCTGCAGTGCCATGGTGTTCACTCCACATGCACTGTACCAGGGATTCCATGTGTATCAAGACAGGCTTGATACCCTGAGGGTCCATGTACCCATATAGAGATACATGGGCCCCAAAGTATCCAAATAGGGACTACATAAAGGCTAATGTATATGGGTGGTTGTTAATATTAGGGTCCCTTTTTGGGTCTTTATTATAATACGGCACCTATCTATTTTGGGTACCCGAAAAGGGACCATAATTTTGACAACCACCCATATACACAAGTTTACACTTGCGGGTTGTCTTCTATCGGAGCTCGGCTCTATGGCTTTGATCGAAGGCCTTAAAGGGGACCCTTAACTACCCTATAATGGTGCTATATAATGGGTATATAGTAGCTATATTAAGGGTATATACCTAGGGGTCCTTATTAAGGGTCCCTCCTTTTGCCCTGGATTTGACGAACCAGGTGCAGAAGAACGGCGCGCCGAAAGGCGCAGAAGGGGAAAGAAGCAGTGGGCTTACCCGGAGGGAAGGGTTTATTCGCCTTGGGATGTTACCGTACCTAGGAATAGCTGTTTTGGTGAGACTACAGACTCAGCGTCCTCAAGCGCTCTCGCACTACCACAGGAGATGCGGATTCAAACGATATCCCGCCCTTATTTGGCGTGTCCGGCGTCTTCGGCGGGGCTGCTTCGCCGGTGACTTCGGTGCAAGGATGGGGAGCCATGCTTCAGGCTGTTAATTGTTATAGGGGACATAGAATGCAAGTTGCAGTGCCAAGCACCGGTGCTCGCAAGCAAGCACATTAATGTATGTTCAAGCATGCACACATGTGGACGGTATACGTGTAATTTGTAATTATGTGTGTAGAAAGAACAGCGCTCAACTACGTGCAACAGCGGCCGAGTCGCGGCATCATGTACCAAGCCATGCCTCGGAGTAAGGCAACCGAGTTTTACTGAACTCTGATGCTGCTTCGAGTTTGTCGTGCCACTCCGTATTTTTGAACATAGGACAATTACTTACAACCCGTGAAAATCAGGGCTTGCAAGTTGTGGATCGTGCCGAATCTATGTCCGTGCAGCGGTCAATGCTTCAGCCGATCCGCTCAAGCCGCAAGTTGTCAGCACATTCCTTTCTTCCCTACAGGGTGATGGCCTCGCCTTTGCTACGCCTCCTCTTTTCCGTGGTCTTTCTCCTGACGGTGCCTTCCGACGCAGTCCGCACAGACCGTGACACGCAAGGGCACAGTGCGAAGGCAGCTTCGAGCGACACGAAGCACGCGGGAGCCTCACAGGTGGGCTGCGACTTTGTCGCTCTGAAACTAATCAATCTAGGCTCTACAGCACCTATCCCTGGAGCCCAGGCTCTGAATACCAAACCAAGAATTCAGGACATCCGCAAAGCCAATGTTAACCCGACAACTACAAGCATTATAAACCCTGGAAACCTGAACCCAGCAAAAGCTCAAAGCCCAAAACGAACACGCAAACAAACCTCATGCCCGATATGTTCGAAGACCCTTAGCCTTAGAGCTTTTGCGGGCCCGTTCCCCTCCGCTTGTTTTCATTCACCAGAGCTCGAACGCCGAGAAGCTTGACCGTCCTAAACCCCTGTTTTTCAGGCCGTTGAGGGACAAGAAACAGAGGATAAGACGAGTGGCTGCTTGGCCGTTTCTGAATTCACACACACTCGGATTAGGATTTCACCCACTGCGGTTTTAGTGGGTGTTCCTTATAGGAACCTTTTTGAGTTTTATTGGGGTTTGAACCCAAGGCGTTCTCAGCGATACTGTTCCGGTTGGGGGTCCAAGGGGCTTATAGTTTAGGGTGTCGAGTCGTTACATTGCCGCGTGTTCTTATCAGAGAACCCTCGCGGAAATACGATCTCAAAGTCTCTCTTCCTGTCTTGTTTCTGCCAAACCCAGAACCCTACATGGCCGAACCTGAAAGCTGAGGTTGCTGGTACAAGCCTGAGGGTGCCCGGTGCACCGGGTCAATCAACACAATTATGGGCAAGGAGCTGGTTAGGATGTAGGGATCTCAACACTTTCTGTTTCGTCAGAAGGCTGACCTCTGCGAACCAGCGGGAGAGATGATGTGTAGAAGATACCCGTGTTGAAACTTCGTCCTTGCTGCTTACTGGGGCTGGAATCCTGATGTCGGCTTCTGTCGGCATGTTCTGTGTATCAGGAGCTCATCAGTGGTACGTGCCAATGCACCGGCGAGCGCTACAGCTTGAAGGAAGTCGGCTTCAAACATATGACGTTGTGGCGACACTGCAAAGACGACAAGTTGAAGTGCAAGCCCTGGAAGCTCTTCGGATGAGCTTTCAATTCTGGGCCCTCCAAGGCACAGCCTCTGCACCCGTTCCCTGCGAGATGCTGCAGCCTGATGCGAAAAAGCCGTCGCTCACACACTCTATCTCCGGAAAATTGATCAAGTTCTTTCGTTGATCTACCAGGTGAGTCGAGGAGGGGCTATACTTGGATTTTATAAGGTAGGACAACTATAGTTATAGCAGGTATTAAGGGGCTTACAACCCCACTTGTAACTACCCATGAAGCTAAAAAATACAGGGTGTTTCAGATGCAAGGGGTGATATCCTCGGCACAGTCCAGCTGCTTGCCCCTTGTAGTCCTAAGCGCTGGCCTGTTTGGGTCAATGCTCTGCTTTTGTCGGCGTGGCTCAGTTGTGCAGTTCTCCTAACGACCCGTGGATCCCAATAGTATATATTTTGGCCGCAGAGTACCTTCATAGGGACTACTTATTAAGGACAAAGTATATACTATTTGGGTACATGGACTCTTAGGGTTATCAAGCTTTGGAAGACCGAGAGCGCCCCGTGCTGATGCACCCTACACCCTGGAACCCCAACCCTAATGAAACCGCGAAGCCTGCACTTTCTCTCTCTCTCTCTCTCTATCTCTCTCTCTCTCTCTCTCTCTCTCTCTCTCTCTCGCTCTCTATCTGTACATATATAATACTTATATGAACACCCGTATATAAGTCCTGGAAAGCATGATGGGCGAACTTTGAAATCTCTAGAATGACGGTAGCTGGCGCCCAGAAGATCCCGGAGACACAACTCCTCATCTAGGGAATATATACCTTAACTTATAAATAGGATATACTTTGGCTCCAAAGTACCTACATAGGGACTACATGAAGGCCAATGTATATACTATATGAGTACATGGACCCTTAGGGCTTACTAAGTCCCCCCAACCTATATAGAGGGATCCCTGATACAGCACCGTTCATTGCGGGCATATTTATTCTTTCGTCATTGGCGAGTGTGGAGTCTCTGGAAGCTTGGACCCTATAGCCTATAAGGGCCTTAACAAGTAGAATAGGGGTTCCTTGAAAGGGTTCCTAAAAAGATCTATAAGGGATACTATAAGGGCATAGGTAAGTATTCGGTATACCCTGTATGAGTCCCTGCATAATTTCTGTAGGACATACCCCCTAAACCTCGGTCTAACTATCGCTGCATCTTGACCTTAAGTTTCGGAGGCATTCCTAATAATGGAGTATGGTTTAAGTTTAGGATACACTATTTCTTTGCCTTGCATTCCTTTGTTTTTCTCCAGTCGGTAACAGTTGGTTACTACTTGTGGTATAGAAATGTAAGGCGCTTGCAGGCAGCCCTATTGTAGACTACTGCTCTGTTGGACAGAACCCAATGCCTTGGGTACTGCCCCCACGCTGTAACAGTTGGATCATATGTGTAATGCAGTTATATCTCGCCTTTCATATCACCCCTGAACCCTGAACCCAAAACGGCAGAACCCAAAAAAAAGCGATTTTAAACGCTACTTATATCAAAACCAAGTTAGCCGATTATGTTGCCTCTTGAGGCACCTGCCTCGGATGCCAAGCCCGGGCGGAGCAAGCGCCGGCGCCGCGGTGCCGGCGGCGGCGAGGTGGCCCCAGAGGTCCGACGGGGAGGACTCCAGACGCTCCAAAACCCTGTGGTAAAGAAATTTACCGTGAGTTGTAATATAGCTTCCCTCTGTAATTGGGTATACATATGTATGTATATATATATATATATAGACGTATGTACACCTGAATTACAGGGTTTGGAGGCCCTGCGTGCAAAGTGCCGTGGTTTCGGGTTTTCGAAGCGGGATCTGGATTAGACTTTAGCTAGACACAACCGGTGATCAAGTGTTCAACGCACTTCGGGTCCCTCGGTTCAACAGATCTCCAGAGACCAAACGGCACCCAAACACAAACTACTGAGCCGGATATCACTACTTTTCCTTACTGGCTTCTTTAAACCTGGACCCTAAAGAACCTACCTTTTTTAGGGTTCTCTGATATGATTTCTTTATATAAGTCCTTAAAAAGGTAGGTTATTTGGGGTTAAGGAAGACGCCCAAGGGGTGATGGGGTATCCCAACCTTATTGTTGTCGCTTAGGTTCTTCTTTGCAGGGGTCCCTATCAGCAGTCTGCTAATATAGGGGCCTTAATAACTACAATAGGGTTTGGAGGCACATTATACTATAAATATAATCGGGAACCTCCAAAGCCCTAAGCTAAAACAGGGCCCCTACACTGCATGGGCCCAGTAGCAGCTTCTGAAGGATCCCCACACATCGGGTACCGCAGTCGTGCTCTCGGCCCCTCCTTCGATCCTTCCTCCGATCCTGTAATTTGGGTTTCGTCGTATTGCCACAGAACGAAGTAATATAAAGCTATCTATCTATCTATCTGTCTATCTATATATATATATATATATATTGCTTTGCTTTGCGGGCTTTCAGCGGTAGTACGCAGCTTAATTAGTATGCACAGAGCGGAATGAAAGAAACGGTTCCGCCAGTGGGCTGTTCCAGAAGCTGGCTGGGCAAGCAAGTCTCACTTCGCCTCCTTTGAGGAAGTGGTCCCAAGCTTGCTGAAGGGCCTCTGGAACCCAGCACCACAAACGCCCCTTCACAGCCGAAGAGCTCACTACAGCACTACACTTCCACCATTCGGCTTCCCAGTCAGAAGGTAGTGTCCACGCTGAAGTTCGCCGGGTCCCGTGGAGGGCACGGATCTGTCCACATGAGTTTCTCAACCTCGCCGTTGAGTGTCTCAAGAGTAGCTGGGGGCCGCCTCGGCCCTTCACAGTCTTCGCCAATCGGCCAATCCTCGACCAGGAAGGATTCCGCTGCCTGCCGGATCGCCCGCAGGGTAGACGGCGTCCAAAAGTCCTCAAGGAGGTCCATCTCAACCGAGTCGATCTCCTCGAGGATCTTCCCCCTACCTCTTTGGCCTCCTCAAAGTAGAAGGGGAAGAGCGCAATGGTCTCCCGGATGAGGTCCAGCGCCTCGTACTGGTCAACCGCAAGGTTCTCGACGAGGAGGACGGCGCACAAATGGGCATGGGCTTCCCTCTGGGTTTGGTCCCAGTCAGATGATGTGCAGGCCACTGTAGGTTCGCGGAGCTGTGTTGGGGGGGCAGGATGGTAGTCCTCCAAGTCTGCCTTGCGTCGGGCTCGACTGCCCGTCCCTGGTGCGATCACCTCAGCCGTGTGTCCACACGCTCGCAACGTGGCCACACATCTCGGCGTATCCCTGAGATGCCAGGCCAGGCGCCCCACCGTCCAGTATTGGACACCACAAGATTTGCAGATCGTCCCATCCACCACAGCACGATACTTTGCACATCTGTTGTGCGTTTTTTGAAAGTGTGCTCCCAACGCACCCTTGGTTTTGAATGTGCGCGAGCACGGCCGGCACACATACTGAGATGCTGGCGTCCCCTCCGCCGGCAAGTAGTCGAGCGCCCGTCGGTAGACTGCCCACAGGGTCAGAGCCATTTTTTGCTTCTTGCGGTAGGCCGCACAGGCTTTGGCAATTTTCTTAGCCACTTGTCGTTTGACCCATGGTGTCGCTTCACAAAGCAACTGTCGCCAGGCCTGCCGGTAGGCAGGACCGATTTCTAGCCACTGCTCTTCGTCTCCACCACGCAGCCATGAGAGTCCTGGCGGATGGCCTCCATCCAACTCCCTTCTGCTTGTAGGGCCGCCCACAAAGCCACAGGAGCTGTCTTCGCCATGGAGGCCAGGAGCGAAAGCCTGGCCTTGGTAGCAAGTAGGTCAAGCGGAAGAGAGTCCGTGACCACAATCGCAAAGACGGACGGGATGTGCAGGAGGTCCTCCGGGTTGATCTCTTTCATGAGGAGCCGGCGGACCAATCTCGCATAGCCCTGACAAAGCTTCTCCCATTGGGAGCCTTCCGGTGTCCACAGGGCCAGGTTGTGCAGCGTAGCCGTGACAGCTATTTGCATCAAAGATGATCGAGTCGCCAAGGGAATGGTCGTGTTGAGGTAAAGGAGGTCCTTGCCCTTATCAAAGGCTGTAGCAGCGATAGCCAATCGCCGCTTGGCCTCGCATCCGCCATATCCCCTGGTCTCGACCACACCTCCCAGGTGCTTATAGTGCTTGGTCACCTCCACCTCCAAGGCAACATCAGCCAGGCAAACGGACCGTCTGCCATGGGCGAAATACTTCCGCTGAGCATGTTTAGCACCTTGGCCCTGGAGCCTCACCAGAAGCGCGGTCTTGCCAGGCTTCAGGTTGGGAACAAGGCCGTAGCTTTGGCACTGGCCAAGAACAACCGAGCAAAGGCGGGTTGCCTTGGCCATCAGCCTCACAGGAGAGGCATCCGTGATTGCCCAAGAGCTGTCGTCAGCCCAAGTCGTATCACTGGCACACGCCTCTTCTCCTCCTCCGGCAGTGGCGAAGGGCCCCTCAGCCAGATCGGCCTGGAGTGTATCCAGAAGGTCCTCGCCCCGTGCTATTTCGGTGATTCGAGCCAGGACGAAGCTGAAAATAGCGTCTGCCCAGCTTTCACCGGGCCTGCTCCCCGCACGGGTGCGGGAAAGCAGGGTCCCGTCCCCATGAGGGGAGATAAACCAAGTGTTGGCATGAAGGTCTATATTATATATATATATATATATACATATATACACGTATATACACACAACACACACATACATACATACATACACATAATTACAATATTATATATACATAATATGTACACATGTTTTCGGAACCAATCCAAAACACAGCATCAACCACAAGCCTGGGGCTGAGCTCCTGTTTAGATCTGGTCCGCAGGTAGCGGAGTCCAAAGAGCCCACGAGAAAGAGGCTGTCGGGTTGTGGTTTCTTAGTTCCCCTAGGATACCCAGTAACTTAGTAGGGTTCCTTAAAGGGCTCCTTTAAGGGATCCTTTAGGGTTTAGGGTTTAGGGTTTAGGGATCTATAAGGGAACTAGGATACCAATACCCCAACCTTTAAACGTTTTGGGTTCCCATAGTTTGGTAGT